ACACACATACACACACACACACATACACACACACATATACACATATAAATAAATAACTTATGTCACAGAGAGAGAAATAGAGATGTATCAGTGTGAAGCATACATTTTAGTTTGAAATGTGAATTCGTTTAAAGGGAAAAGAAGTGATGGGAAAAGTAGAGATTTAAATTAGTGAGGGAGGAGGAGGGGAATGTTTGTTTGAAATGTTTAACAGTAAAATCAACAAATCAGCTGATGTATAATAAAAGAGTTGAGCGGAATTGAAATTTTATCAACTATTAAAATTAACCATTATTATAATAAATTGATTGCATATCATTTCAATTATTTAAAATATAAATTTCCTCTCTTTTATCTTTTAATCGCTTTAGAATCTTTGAAAGATTGAACAAATTACATCAAATTTATGTGTAATTATTTTTAAAGATAACTTAACGATAAACTATTACACAAGATAATTTAAAGATAACTCTTTAAAAAAAAAAAAAAAATTTCCTCTCTTTTTTCCATGGTTAGAAATTGTAAAAATTTTTGAGAAAAAGAGAGAAAGAGTGAGGAGGAAATTTACGATATAAATTATTGAAAAAAGGATGAATTGAAAGTGAAAGAGAAATGAGAAGAAATGTTTATTTCAATTTCTTTGCAAAAAAAAAAGACATGAATTGATTTGGATGAAAGGAATGGCTTTCCAACCCTCACTCGCCAAGCTTCTTTAGCCAATACTGTTAGCCATGACATTTCTCCGTTAAAATTCATCTCTTTTTTTTTTTTATCACTTTTTGTTTTGATTTTCAGAATTACTAAAAATCATTAAAAGAAGTGAATCGAAGAAAAAATTTCTCTGTAAAATTAATCAGAGGAATAATTCCTCTATAAATTAAAAAATTTCTTTAAAAAAATATGAAAGAAAAAAACATCATTTAATAATACAGAATGAATGAAAGAGAAGATTTTCCATTTGTAAGAGTAAAAATTGTAAAATTTGAATGAATGTTTAAAATATTAAATTTAACAAATAGTATAAAAAGTTTTTCTTTTTTAATTAGAAATTGGAAAAAAAAACAGGCGAAAAAAAGTGTCGCATCATTTCAAAATGTAAAAATTGCTCATATTCCGTATTACGTGTTATTTGATTTAATCATATTTTTGCAATAATTTTCATTATTCTGAAACAAATCTATCAGCGAAATAGATAGAGAGAGATAGAGAGAGAGAGAAAGAAAGAGGGAAAGGAAGATATCTGAATAAATTTTCGGTTAAATTAACTTATATTGATTATTTTCAAATATCTAAAAAGGAAAAATCTGCAACAGAAAATAATGATTTGAAAGCAGTGATCGCTGTAATTACTTCATGAAATAATAACTTAAAATTTCAATTTAAACAAATTTATAAAATGACAAAAAAAGTTTGAAAAAAATGATTTTCTTTTTGCATAAACTAAACAATTGGTTACTTTTTTAAATACAGACTTAATGATTTTGGTAAAATTGATGGAAAAAATGTGGAATGATGCAAAATCTCAAAGATGAAAGAATTAAATTATAAATTGGATGAAGCAAATGAAGTGAATTTGTTTGTTATTGTCATATTTGTGTCGTTGTTTCGAGAAGCCATCTGGCACTGAACAATGGAACATTGATCATTTTAAGCCTATTGAAGTTTACTATTTACTCTCTAACGAATAGTGAATTATCACCGCCATAAGGTTAAATTTGATCAACACAATCAACACAATCAATATATTATTACACCAAACGATTACTTCTCATCAGTAAGCATTGCATTTCGAAGATTTCCGAAACACTCATAAATCATTAGAAATTGCATAAATGACTAAATAATAATGGAATAAGCTAAATAATCATTGAAATGAACCAATGATAAACAAATATTACATATTATACGATAAGAAACAATTATTATTATTAAATTTCAATAGGTTATTTTAGTAAAAAAAAAACATAATTTAAATGAAAGGTCAAACCAAAAAAAAAAAAAATTCTCTTCTTTCCCTACAACAGCTTCATTCTTTTTTTCCTTCCAATGGAAATTCAATTTTTTCTGAACTTACACTTTTTTTTTTAAATATTTATTTTTTTCTTTTCAAGAGAAAAAAATCCGTTTCCCTGAAAGGTTAGCACCATTTCAGATATTTACAGTTTTGGAAATAATTCAAGGTCGATTCAAATGTACAAGCAATCCATACAAATAATTTGTAATAAATACTCAGTCAAATTCAATCTTCATTTTTTGAATATTACCTTTCCACCACCACCATTTACAATTCAATTTTTTAATTGTTTAAATATTTGAAATAAATTTTAAGATATAAACCAATGTTTTCTAGTCATTTAAATTTTCAAACTATTTTCACTAACTCTGTAATTATATCATATTTGCGATAAATTTGATATAATAATTACAAGTTTCAAATGATATATTCCGAGTGTTTTCACTTGACAACTTTATAAAGGTTATCAAAGCAAAAATATCATAATATATCATTTGAAACTTTTAATTTGCTTTCTTCATAAATGCCAAAAAATATTGAAAGGAACTTTTGCATATGAAAAAAAAAAAATCAACAACAAAACAACAACAATAACAATAAAAGATGCAAAACTCCGTAAAATTTCACATAAACTTTCATTTTACAAAAAAGTATTGATCAATTGTATATTTTCTCAGCTATGAAATTAATTCATCGAATGAGAAAATTTTAGAAAAATCTATAAATGGAAATTTTAGCTTTAAAAAAAAAAATTACATACAAATCAACTAAGGAATTTTTGTATTTTAATTTTAAGTAATTAACTAAATATATTGTGCCATTTTTAGCTATAACATATCGGCTAGTAGCAAAAAGAAAAAACAAAACAAACAAACATCTTGAAAATTGAAGTAAAACAATTTTGAACTTACCATTAATAATATTTTTAAATCGGCATTCTCCAATGATGAATTTATTACCGATGGATCCAATATTTCAGCACTAAAAGGTGCATCTGCAAGCGTAGCTATTTGATCCAATGATGTTAATATCTGTAAAATTATTTTATCATCTGTAAAATGAACTAAACAATTTCTCTAAAACTAACTCATTTCATCAATTTTTTTTTTCAAAAAGCTACGCTTATAATTTCAAAACAAAAAAAAAAGAATGAATCAATAGAGCAATTTTCAAATAATAATATTTGAAAATGATAATAATACAAAATAATGATTATGATTAACATTTAATGATTATGAAAAGTTTACGATATAAAAAACAGCAATGCAGACAGCCCATTTTATGCCAGTCAAAAATGAATAATAAAATAAAATTAAAACAGCCAATGAATGAATCAATTTGAAAAGTGAATAAATTTTTTTGCTCGAAAAATTTTTCCAACAAAAAAATCTTACGAATGGTAAAAAATTTTTGGGAAAAACAAATAGCTTGTTGGAGTATGAATGGGAGAGAAATTAAAAGAATGAGAAAGAGAAATGCAAGCGAAAAGAAAAAAAAATCAAATCAAATCAAATCAAATCAAAACTAATTTGTTGCTAAGTTCGTTCTTGTTATGCTAAAATTTTCAAGACAAACTTTTATCTTACGCTAAAATTTCTTGCATGACTTTCCTCCTGGGAATTTGTTGTTTTCCATTTTAACATTCAATTCTCATTCGTCAATATTTATTCCAAACCAAAAATACTTGCAATTTCTTTATGCTTATTTCTCTAACATTTCATCAAAATAATTTTCAAACTATAAATTTAAAATTTTCAGCAAAAAAATTAAATTAAATTAATCTTTGTCACTAGCAAATTTTTCAAAATAATTAAAGTTGCAAAAAAATAATTTGAAAAAAATTTGCATTAAAAGAAGAATAAGTTGACTTACTTAATTCTTGCCATAACTTATTTTTCACTGATACTTATAATTAGATATGAGAAATAAATCCATTATTTATATTTATTATTTAAGTATCGCTTGAAAATTCAAATATGAAGAAATTTTCTTTCGTTTTTTTTTTTACAATAACTACTACATTCATATCGATGAGGAATGCAAACTTGAAATTAATCATAGCATTTTTGGAATAAAATTTCTCTTGGAATTCTAACATTCAGAAAGCATCTAACAAATTTAAATAAAACCTAATGAAGCTCAAAATTCAAAATTCTCATGGAAAATACACTAAAGTTTACTGCGAAAACATGCAAATATTGCTCTTCAGAATTAATTTGAAGAAAAAAAAACAGAAAAAAAGTCATGCAAAAATATCTATAATTGCTTTACACAAAATTATCAATTAATCTATCAATTGAAATTAATTACTAACTGTTAAGATTTAATTTTGAAAGTAAAATGTTTGTTCTGCTTATAGCAATATTGTATATTGGCAAAATTACGCTTACACATTTTCAAAAATACATTTCTTTTATGATTACTAACATAAATGATGTACCTTTTCAACACCGGCTAAATCTTTTGGTATCACCTGTTCCGGACCACGTCTTGTACAACCGTCCGCATCACACGTATCACCACCAGGCAAAAGATCACCACTGATCACAGCATCTGAATGTGTTGCAATTACGGTAGCATCAAATCCTTCTGACCATTTTTTGTTGTTTACAGCCGATAATATATTGCTCTATAATGCGGTGCATTTATATGTTTGAATCAAAATGCAAATCGTTTCTTGTGAAATAATGCACAAATTTGATATTAATTTCATTACTGTAGGTTAATGAAGTTACAAAATTAAGCTTAAAATGACTTATAAACTTCTGGTAAGTTATTTTTGTTGAAAATTGGATGGCTCTTACAGCTTCCAAATAGATTATTCAAAATAATTTGTCAAGATTAATTTTATTCTTTATTTATTAGGAACTTTTCGATAGATCATCTATTTGACTTTATTCAAGGAGTAGATGAAATTCAGTGAAAATATTAAGCTAAAAAACTGATAGTCAATTAATAATTTAAATATTTTCTGTACATACCGTAGTAGATTACGGTATTCCAGGAGCATTTAAACAATTCCACATTTAAATAATTTAACCAATAGAATAATATTTTCGTAATTTTTTCTCGAAATACTATTATCTACTATTATTTAATTTTTCATACACTTTTACAGTTACAGCAAAATTTAAACATATAAATTATAAAATTTTTCAATTTCATTTGAAAATAAATTATAACTAACTTTTAATTTTCGACGTGCATTATACCTTCGAATTTGTTCCACAGTATTTTGCAAATGTTTACGAGGCGCAAATCGACTACGTTCACGTAACCATTCATGATTTAAGGCACCTTCTGCAGATATCCTATTATTTGGATTAACGGTGAGCAATCTGATCAAAAGATCTTTTGCTGAATCACTAATCTGTTGCCATGTTCCACCATGATGCTAGAAATTTACACATTTCAAATGAAATATATTTTAAATTTTGTATAATTTTATTGTAAGAAAAAAATGAAACAGAAATTTCAAATTTTGCAGTAAATTAATTTAAAATAAACCATAGTGATAGATGAAAACAAAAAAAAAAAAAACTAATAATAATAATGAAGAAGTTCAATTATATTCTTTCCTATCTTATAAAAATATTAAAAATAATCATTAAAATTTTAATTACGGAAAAAATATATACCGAATATTTTCCTTCAGTGATATCTTCATAAATATCCTGTCGTGTGCCAATAAATGGTAAACGTCCACAAAGTAATATGTACAGTAATACACCAGCACTCCACATATCAGCTTTTGTACCGTATTCCGCATCACTTACAACTTCCGGTGCCATAAAATAGCATACACCAACACGACCTAAAATTCTAATACAATTTTAGAATAATTTTTTCAACAAAATTCATTCTAAAAAAAAAAAAAACTTTAAACATTTAAATGAATAAAAGAAAGAAAAAGCAATTTGAATGAAACGAACCAGCTCGAATAGTTGCAGCTGGAGTTGGTAATTTAATTGAAACACCAAAACCAGTCAATTTTAGTGGTGCTGAATTATCTTTACTGCAATTTATCATTAATTATCTGATAAAAATCTTTAGAAAAGTATTTATTTTTAAAAAGATATAATTTAATTTAAAAGTATGGTTGTTGGCTTTAACCTTGCAAGCACAATATTATGTGGTCGAATATCACGATGAATAATTCCTTGGCTGTGCATATATTCCAATGCTTCCATTAATTGTCTCATATAGTGACTGCAAAAAATTTTTTCAAATTAAAAAATTTATTTGGCTGTTAAAAAAAAAACGAAAACTTGAAAAGCTCATTTTTTAAATTTATAAAACTTTAAAAAAAAATTATATTTGTATATTTTTTTACAATCAATAATTAGATGTAAAATATGTGTAAAAACTTCATATTTAAAACTTACAAAACTTGAAAAATAAGATGTGAAACTTTAAAAAAATTATATTTAACTGAAACTTTCTGGAATATAATTATGATATGAGTTAATAATTAAATGTAAAATATATATGAAGTGGATTTGGAAGTGATAAAATATCCAACACATCATCATAAGAAATGAATATTTAATAAATAAAAGTAAATCATTATCATTGGAAAAGATCGTCATTTCTCATAATTATAATTTAATTGATTATCTGATGAAATAAAATGAATTGTTTTTTTCAAAAATTTACTTCAATTTTAATTTAATCAAAATTAACATATCCGGAATCATAAAAATATTAAAATTCCATCGAGAATGATAGAAATTGAGGATGTCTAGAATAAAAATATTAAAAAATTTAATTCAACCCTAAAAATTAACTTCCCCAAAAAACATCATCCTCTTTTCTCTCTCTCTTTTTTTTTCCTCACCTGGCAACAGCTTCACTGTAAACAAAACCAGCACTGGCTCGTTTAACAATTTCAAAGCATATATCATCACCATCAAGAAATTCAAAAACCATATGAACAGTTTTTTCACCAGCTATCACATCTTTTAATTCACACAAAAATGGATGTTTCAGCACTGCACAAATTTCAATTTCATTATCCACATCTGTAAAATTCTACTAATCATTGGTATTTTTTCCAATAATTATTTATATCAAATGACGTGAGATTGATAAAATGGACTGCATATTTTCAATGCTTAAATTATTAGTTGAAATTTTGTAATGAATAATAGCTACAGCAATTAGCTATAAACAGTAAATAAATTTACAATAATTTAAATGTGCGATGATACGATGAAAAAAAAAAAATAAAATATAACAAATAATAATTATTACAAAAAATTTTTTTTTTGTCAGAAAAAAAGCAAAATGAAAAATAACCTGTTCGGGTTAATCCGGAAGTAATAGAATATTTTTGTAAATTGATACTTTTTACCGAATAAAGTTTTGAAGTTATACGATGTACAGCACGATAAACTGTACTTAAGGGACCACTGCAAAAATAAGACAATGATGAATTATCATTTTTGAATGATATTATCTCAAACATGTAAATTAATTTTACATTTACTATCTAGCACAATAATATAAATTCATTTATTAATCCGAACAAAAAAAAAAAAAGAGAAAATAAAAATAAAAAACAACATTTTTCATTTAATTTCCAATTTCATAACATTTAACTTAATCAATTCTTTCTAATTTTTTGAATTCTTTTTTTTTTTCAAATTTTATCATTTTGAATTAATTGTTTTTTTTTCCTCTCTCCAAGCATTTATCATTGAATGCATTTTATTGTAAAAATAGCATTTAAAATTTTATCAAGGAAAAAAAAATTTTTTTTTTCCCATAAAAATTAACTATAAATTTTAAATAGCTATGAAAAATTTTTGAATTCTTTTTTTCTTTTTAGATACATTAAAAAAAAGAAAAAGAAAAAGAATGAAATTAAACTAACCGTTCGATGATATCTCCAAGTTGATAGTGATGATTGAGAAGTATCGTTTCTTCGCTCAATGTCCATGTTTGACCAGCATACATCACTTAAAATGGCCATCCAGTGGTCCCTCTTATCGCTGAGGACAATGTGAGCTTTTTTTTGTTTTTGTTTTTGTTTTTATTTTTGTTTTTGTTTTGATTAGTAATAGGCACTCAATATAGGCAAAATGTATGCATACAATTTATCACAGATATATTATAATTTTTTTTTTTCTTTCGCAAATCTTTGTTAGTGAAAATTTCTGAAAATTTACTTTCAAAGAATAGTTGAAAAAAAAAAAACGAATAATTGCAAATTAGACCAATTATTTAAAAAAAAAAATATTTAGCGAATATATGTACAAGTTAACGTTGTCTAAATGAATTAAATCAACTCATTAAATGAAAGCAGCATTTTGAGAATGTTATAAAGAATTAAAATTTTCAACAACAACAACAACAACAACAATAACAAAATGATAGGAAAAATTTCAATTTTTGCGCAACATTTGTAATTATATAAATTCTTGCATAACAGTAATATGTAAAAATATCTTTTCAAATTTTATCATAAAATTTTGCTATATATTTTTTTTTGAAAAAAAGTATACTAGAAATGAAATTGAAAAGATTTTAACCATACATGCAT